GGCCACTCCACTCTCTAAAGACAATTTAGTATTCATTTATCATTCCTATTTATGTATAACTCCTTTTATTAATTACTTCACCTAAAAAAATAAGAATTTTGGAGAATTATTGTAGTAGGTACCTACGTAGGTATATTTGTAGGTAACTTAGTACTAAAAAAGGGGTGCGCGAAAGGAGCCTCCCTCTACGATGCGACGCGGCGTTACATTCTTACGCCGATTGACAAATTCTTTCACCACGACATCAGTTATTATACTGTAGGTATGCCATCGATACGATAAGAAGAAAAATTATTTTAAAAAAAACATAGTTAAAGTATATTATTATTTATTTATCACTACATAACTCAATTCTATTTAGCAAGGCACATATTACGAATTATAAATATAATACTCCACATTTTAAGCTCGTCTTCACTGCTGTTCTTCGTCTTCCAACGGCTCCATGACATACATTATTTCCGGTTTCTGGACATCACCGGCGTATCTTCTGTTTAGGTCAAGCTCAATATCTCTGATGTATGAAAGAAGAAGCGGATTATAAGTAGTAGCATGATTTATGTTCTCGTCTTTGTTCAGCGGTTGCAGTTCATCGCCAGCTTCTCTTGCAAATCTATTTTTCGAAGGCGTAATAATGGACTCAATAGGATGTTCACCAATGGGACTGACGCCGCTGTTCTGCACTTCCATTTGACTGCTAACATCACGAGGTCTCCTACGGACCACAATTATGATGATACGCCGCCTTCTCTGCGGTGCCGGAGCTGTAGACACAGCCACAATGGTTACTATAATCAAAGCCAACAATAACACTAATCTCACCATTTTTAAAGTTTCAACGACCGCTTCAGTCGAATTGATACCGTGAACGTTTTCCGTTGGCTTTTTATAGCGCAGTTTAAGGAAAATTTGGGTACTTCACCGACGTTTAACAAGCGATTTCATAATATTGTTAAAGTAAACACAGACACGACTTAATTTTGTCTTCTACGATGAATCAAGAAGTAGGGACATCACCCTTATCTCGTCGTTGTAAACGGAGATACCGTTAACACTTTATTTAAATTGCATTACTAACATATCTTTTACCTACAACATGTGCAAGTAGCTATCGACGGTTTTCTAAAAGAGTGACCTGTTTCAAAAACACTTAGGAGTATTAGAGTTCCTTGTGAAAAAGTTCGCTTAAGGAAGGACCTACTATCCGACCTATTTTTGCGGCCAAGCAATAATGTAAGATTTTCTGCGTTCCGGTTTTGAAGGGTAAAGGTGCTGGTGACATTACAGGCACATAGAACTGAGGCAGTGCCCATCAGATCTTTGCTATTTAAAACTTTGAATGGCACTGCATTTGCTATAGACAGGCGCGTCGCTTACCACCATCTTTCTAATTTGTGCTTACCACCAGACACACTCTGACTAAGCGACCTCTTTCATTGTCATCCCACCTTTTTATCACCCGTTTCTCCGCTCCGTACTTTGAAATTTTTAATCGTTCTTAAATTCCTTTTCTTCTTCGTCACTCACTTTTCTTCGCTATCGCCACTCTCTACTAAATTTCCGAAACGAGCTCACGTGCTCGACTTCACTTATAGATCGTGTAGCAGTTAGCTTGTAAATTTTTGTTATTTGTAGTACCATTGAAAATCATGAAACCGAACTGCTTATAAAGCATATTATTTCTAGAAATTACAGGTCCTTTTGGAGTAAGTTCCTTTTTACCATAACCTGTATATAATTGAAGTAGGGAGTGTTTTATACCATTGTACCTGATTGTCATTACTCACTGTATGTCATTGTTTCGTTGCAACCTTTACGCCTTTATTTTACCTGTTCTTTTCTCTTCCTGTACTCTTTCTTTATTTCTACAATTAAATTCATGTGAACCGAGCATTGTAGTTAATTACGCGAGGCCCCGTGACAACACGACTTTTTCGTCCTGTCATCGTCACTTAGTATCATAAAAAAGTCACTTAATTCATCAGGAAAGTGGTTTAATTTTATTACATTGAAATTACAGGCACATGGGACTTATCAACTTATTAATATGTTTCAGAGTGACGGGCGCAGCGACATTGTCCCTGAGATCTTTGCGAAAGCTTTTTAAAGCTCTGAGTGGCACTGCAACTGTTATGGACAGGCGTGTATCATACTATCAGGCGCACGACTTGTTCGTCCCGTCACTTGATATTATGAAAAAAATAATTAAACACGTACCAATGTCATATTGTATGTAGATTTTAGCAAATAGAAGTTCGGTGTCTTAATTACAATACAATTTAACACATTGTGAACACTGTCGTAATTATGTAAATTCTTAAAAAGTACGATAGTTACTGTCGATGCCCTATGATGCCTGACCTCCTTAGTCGACCTTTTAGTTCTGAGAGCCTTCTTAAGCTGAATGCTTAGCTCTCACATAAAAGTCTGAAGGATTCCAGGTTTTTAGTTTTTTTTTTAATCTTTATTTATTTAGGGGTTTATATTGTTATTGAGCATGTCAGCCCCATCAGTAAAACGGTACATCAAGAAAACACTTAATATAATCTAGACAGATAAATCAAAATACTACCTAACTAAACATGTATACAAAATCGCCGCGGCACTACATGTTGGCTCCGACAAAACAGATTGAAACCACCCAACATTAAATGTACGGAGACCAGCCTGTGCAAATAACCACGCCCTGATAAGTTCCGTCCGAACACACTCCACGAGCAAATGATGTACATCCTCAAGAATCCCATACACTTCGCAATTCGGTGAGTTCACCCTCTGCATCAAATATAAAAAATTGTTTAATGGAATGTGTGTTTAACGGATCGAAGCAACTTAACATGGTCAAACCAAGGGACACGATAAGGCTCACTCTGCATGGTCTTGTAACAGATTCCTTTTTCCTCTTATCGACATATTCCTTCCAACAAGAATGGAACTTGCTCTTATAGCTTGCAACCATTTCAAAGAAGTCAGGCACAATGTCAACCTCAGGCCCTTCTGAAGCAGCCGCAGTGGTCCGCTTCCTAATTCCCTAGCAAGCCAATATGTGACGGCGCCCATTGCAACCGCAAGCATCCCCCACTAGTCGTAATTATTTATTTGTTGTAAAATTTTATAAGCCAATGAAACACACTGTTTGATATAAGTACATAATATAATAATAATTACACCGAGCCATTCAACGTATAGAATGGCACTTTTACTATCAGTCATGATTACCACGTTTTGACAAATTAACGTCTCCACATACGACAACGTCTCAGATATTGCATATACGAGTAACTCTGCCGCCATTATTGTTACACTACACGTAATTTTAAAACCTGCCCTCTTATTATTAAGTGGGTCAAGGAAGCTGCCCCTATCTTATCACCGCACTTAGAGCCATCAGTAAATATTTTTAACCAACCCGAATACTTTTCTTGCAATTCTAAAATTACATCCATGCGAAGAATATCACTATTATAAGTACGTTTAGCATGAGAAATACATTCCAACGTGTAGGGTAGTACATTATCTAACTCAATTATTGACACATAGACACTTAATTTATACATAATTAAGGCAAAGGATATGAAGAGAAAGTGTGCTCATTGGAAAATTCTAATTCACGAATCATACTAACTGTTAAATTATTGCAAAAGGCTTTTAAGTAAAATTTAGTTGCCAAAAAATGTTCTTTTGATATGTAACGGCTGTATACAAAGTTAGCTCTCCACTACATGAATAGGAGTTGTTCTAATAAAACCTCCTACGACCTCCCCTCCCACCCTCATGGCCTGACTTTGAACGTTTTCTGGCTTATACACATGCGTTTTAGCACTTTTGTCATGTAAATAACAAGCATAATCCATTCTACTACGAATTAAAGAAATGTATAGCCGACGAAGATACTTAGGATGAACTCCCCATGAGGCACCAGCTAAGACTTTTAAAATATTAAGAAATCTCTGCCTTTTTTCGAACATGTATGTAATTAATATGTTTACCCCACCTTATGGATCTGTCTAGCCACATTTCTAAATATTTAAATGTCTCCTCAGAACGCAACTCCTGTCCACGTACTTGAAAACTTACACGTGGAATTTTGCGAACTCTACTAAAAACACAAAATCTTGATTTACTTGCCGCAACATCTAAATCTAGACTATCCAATATATTTAACATTACATCTGATCAAAACTTTATCAATCTCACGACAAACTTGGTAAGTAACTATATTAAAGAAAAGGGGAGAAAGAGGATCTCCTTGGGCAAAGCCCTTGCCAGTCCACCTCGTAATAAGACTCTTACCTTCCTCATCTAGTATGATTGGATGTCTCTCGCTCAAAAAAGCCCATAAATATTTAAAAATTAAGGACCCAACTTCTAAACCATCAAGAATACGAACGACTTTCTCGACAGAGACATTATTATATGCACCTTCTATGTATGTCAAGAAAACATGCCACAGTATATTATTGGCAAATCCAACTTAAGTATAAGAAATAAGACGAGCTAGGTAATCTGCTTGATTGATTGAGATTGCTACTATAAATTTACGTCGTCTTAATTTTGCCAACTTCCCGTGCATTCTAATCAAGCTAAATGTTATAACATAATATCATCAGATTGGTTCTAAGATATAACTTTTATAAAATTATAATTTTATGCCAACTATTTTACTTAGATAAAAATTAATTGTATGTGTTTCAAAATTGCAACACATTCCATCTAAGTGGTAAAATATGGAGAAAATGTAATGGCAACAGTTCGGTGCAATCAATCTAATGTCAATGTCAGAAATCAAATTGATTTGTTGTTGGTTGTTGATTATTTCTGCAAACCGATAAAATTTTATAAATACGGAATGTTTACGTACTGTGAAGATTTCTAGAAGTTGGTTGATAAACGATTCAGTTTCACAATCATGGGGGACGGACAGAATGGCATGGGTGACTTCCTTGCGTGTTTTTTACATTATTTTACTTCTTTGGGTGTGGATTATAATTTACAACGAAAAATTTATTATTTCAGAAGACTTTGAAATGCTTAAAGCGTTGTACGACTTCGAGGCAACGTTGGCTAAAACTCTAAGCTTCAACGAAGGCGAATATTTCTTCCTGCAGCAGATCAACTCGAAGCAACGAAACTGGTGGCATGTTGTTAATAGGAAAGGTCAGGTGGGCTTTGTCCCCTCCAATTATGTGGCCTCAGTCAAGGTAACTGTGTTTTATTATCTCAATTAGGAAGCATGGCCTATGAGCTTTAATAATAGTCTATATTGTTATCTAGGTGGAGCCGGAATTCTTCTTGTCCTTTATCAATGATTGCATAAAGAATTTGAATGATAGCGGTATGTCGTCGCAAAAACAAGAGTTGCTGGGTATATTGAATGAAAAGAAGAAGCAAATACATGCTATAGTGAAGCCGCATGGCAAAAAACCGCCGGCACCCCGACCTCCGCTACGCCTCGATGAAGGCACGCCACCCAATGGACTGTCGCCCTCCTTTGATCTACGACCCGTCGTATCGCAGCAGCAGCTCACTGAAATAAGAGAATCTCAGTCACCACCAAAAATTAACAGTAGGTAGAATATAATTTGGAACTTGCTAATAATAATATATTATTTAAGTACAGTATGTACAATGAAAAATCCAATACAGAATTAGAAATAATAATAATTATAATTGCTACTTCAACACACTTTCGCCTAATGCAAGTTTCTCTAGTTTTTCTAAATTTGTGATTCTAGAAGGAAAAAAATCAAAACAATCAGTGGCAAAAGGATCATCAAACCAGCTGTCATCAGACACGGACAACCAGGATGACAGCCAAGACAGCAGTGACAGCATTAAACCGAATGCAATATATGAAATTGTTCAGGCTGTTCGCAAAGAGACACAGCTTAGTCATGAAATGTCCAAAGTTGCTGTTGAGACTGTACTTATATCTTTGAGAGTAAGTATTGCATCTATTTCTTTCTTTTTTTTTTTAAAATGTTATCCACCCCATGCAGAGTGCATGTCTCTTTTAAGGCATGCCATTCCTTCCGAAGTTGTGGTTTTGTGCTCGGTGGATACCTGCCTATGCTTCTATACCCTATGTGCTAATTAACACAGATGAGTAATTAGTGTGCAGACAGAATATTACATACACTATAAGAATACTTCAATTCTTGTATACTGCTGCATAATTCTTTGTCAGTAACATAATATGGTCATTGTATAAATTTGTTTTTCAGGAATTCCTTCCCGGAGGAGCAGCCCGATCGATTATAGATGCTCTACTCAGAGAAGCAAACAGCAATATTACATGTCCTAAGAATGCTATAGATGCGGCTCCTGATGCTCTTCGAATGATGACTGCACTTAATTCCCTGTCCAAAGCCGCCAATGACGCGCAGCAGAGAGGTTGGGCATTGCATGATGATGCACACGACATACAAACGCAGTTACTTGAGCTTATTTCTGTTATGGTAAGTATGGTTTATTAATTACAAACACTATGAGATGTAGACAGCGAAAACTGCTCAACTATAATCAAATAAATTAGTAACTGTGACTTGTTTTTACAGTTACCCAGAGCCTTCCAAAACCGTTTGAAACCAACCTACTTTGGGCTAGTGTGGTAGACTTTAGCTTAAGCCTGTACTCTACTTTGAGTAGACTTGTCCGCAACAATGGGATATATGAAACTAGGCAGCTTTATTGCTAAGTAGCATGTATGTATGTAGTAGTAAATAAGTAGCATGCTATCATTGGAATTAGTTATTCTAAATTCTTTTATTTATGTTTCCGTTTTCCACACATCAGCACAGCACATTCTGACCCATATCAAAAATTTCCAACTTGTCATATTGCAATTGAATAACATTACAGATTAACAGAATACCCAGGTGAGGACATTATGACTCCCATCTTACTGCAGCAGGGTATAAGTGTACTCTTGCCATACCTGGTCAAAATATATAGAGGCAGTCTTGCTTGGGGACACATACCAATATAATGGACAACGTGCAAAGTTGTATTTGTACCAAAGGTAGGCAGAAAGGACTACTCTCTTGCAAAGTTCTTTAGACCCATTTGCCTAACCTCATTCTTGCTCAAAGCAATGGAGAAGGTACTTGACAGTCACATTAGGGCTTCGCCCTTAATTAGACCTATCCATCACACTTAACACGCCTATCAAATTGGAAAATCCACAGAGACAGCTCTGCTCCACCTTGTGGACAGGGCTGAAAGAGCGTTTGAGGACAAACAAATAGCACTATGTGCCTTTCTAGACATAGAAGGTGCTTTTGACAATACGCCCATTTGTACTCTGGTAAAGGGACTAACCTGCAAAGGTGTAGTCACTTCTACTATGAGATGGGTGCAAAATATGCTCTAAAGCTGCAGAGCCAGTATCTCATTACAGGGGGACCGGCTTGTGGCCTCCACAGTAAGGGGTTGCCCGCAAGGTGAAGTAATTTCTCCTCTCCTTTGGACTCTTGCTGTGGATCAGCTCCTGTATAGGTTGGCCGAACTGAGCATTGACGCCCATGGATATGCGGATGACCTAGTGATCACGGTTCGAGGGCATTGCCAAAGCACTGTATCATCACTTATTCAAGGAGCTCTTAACACCATTTCCGCGTGGTGTCAATAACTAATTATGTATTAATGCGGAAAAGACAACTATTGTTCCTTTCACTAGGAAGCGGAAACTAGACAAGCTAGTGGAACTGATCCTTGTTGGCAGGGCAGTGAGTTTTTCCGCAGGGGGCAAACCCTAAGGTGGAACTGTCATATAGCTAACACGGTCAACAAAGCTAAGATGGCCTTAGGTATCTGTAGTTGTATGGCAGGACAGCCAGGGAAGACTGGAAAACTAAGTCTCACCTGGAACGACGGTAGCCTTCTTTGGTATACCGATGGGTCCAAGATGGGACCCAACGTAGGCTGTGGTATACACGGCGTGAGACCCAGACTCAGCTACAAGCTGAACATGGGACGTCACTCCTCTATCTTTCAGGCCGAAATATACGCCATAATTGCTTGTGCGGATCTGCGGAAACCTGAAGAGAGGCTACTTGAACAAATATACTTATATAAACTCAGATAGTCAAGCCGCTCTGCATGCACTAACCTCAGTCACCCAAACTATCGAGGATTGTAGAGAACTGCATAAATATACTGAATACTCTCGGGGAAAGGAATAATGTAGTCCTGCGTTGGGTTCCTGGTCACTCTGATATCGAGGGTAATGAAGCAGCGGATGAACTGGCAAAGGCTGGTGCTAGGGAGGCCTTCATTGGTCCTGAGCCCTTTGTAGGAATAGCACACAGCCCGGTAAAGTTCACTTTGCTGAATGAGAGCTCCCACGTCTCCTGAGATGTGTGGCTGACTAAGGGTCTTGAGCATTCTGCAACCCTGATAGCTGTCTTCAGTGCCAAACACTGTAGAGAAGCTCTGTCACTGGACAGGAATGGCATCAGAATGCTGACTAGAGCCTTAACAGAACATTGTGGCTTGAATAAGCACATCTCAAATATTGGACAGAGAGAAGTCAAAGTCAAAGATTATTTATTCCGTAGGTAAAATAAATTTACACTTGAAAACGTCACATTTAAGCTACTGCTCGTTCACTACGCTGACCTGCCTGAGAAGAACGAGCAAGAAACTCTAGGGATTGCTCTTTTCAAATAAACTTAAATGCTATGGAATACGCTTTGAATCAAATTTGTGTGGATTCTGGAGCCGTGTCGTCTTTCCATACATCTTTATCTAACACGTAGTCTTCAATTTTGTAATCGATCAAAATATTTTTAATGTAGTTTTTAAACTTAGGAAACGATAAACTTAACTATGCTCCGGAATCTTATTGTAAAAACGTATACTGTTCCCCATAAAAGAGTTGTTTACCTTGGTTAAACGAAATCGTGGTATCATGAGTTTGGACTTAGCTCTAAGGTTAATATTATGGATATGTTTTATCTTATTGAAATTATGTATATTTTTACGGGCATATAAAATATTTGAGTAAATGTACTGTGATGCCACAGTCATGATACCAGTCTTCTTAAACTTTTCTCTGAGAGAAACCCGAGAGCCTAGACGGTACACAGAACGAATCGCTCGTTTTTGCAATACAAATATGGTTTGAATATGCAGATATTACTTATTACTTATATTAAGATACGCTTTACCCCACATGAGAATCCCGTAGGACATTATACTATGGAAGTAACTAAAGTAAACTAGTCTAGCAGTACTAACATCAGTAAGGTCACGTATTCTGCGGACTGCGTATGCATCGGAACTTAATCTGCTGGCCAGGGAAGATATATGTGGAAACCATTGAAGTTTACTATCTAAGGTCACTCCCAAGAAGACTGCTTTACTAACAAGGTCTAACTTTTCTCCGTTTATTTCTATGATTGGACCTGTCGATTTTACGTTAGGTAATTCAAATTTACCACATTTCGTCTTCTTGGCATTAAGCAATAAATTGTTAGCATTAAACCAATAACCTTACCTTAGAGAGGGTATCATTAATATGGTCATAGTTAATATCATATCTGTCTGTTTTAAAAATCAAGGATGAGTCATCAGCAAACAACACTATTTCGCAATGGTCCTTAACAAAGAATGGCAGATTATCAATATAAATCAGAAATAAGAAAGGTCCAAGTATTGAGCCTGCGGAACACCCATTTTTACCGGATCACCCATTCACTAGGCGTAAATGTCTACTTTCTGAATTCTACCGTTTTAGATATGACGAGACAAGTTTCGACGCCTTGCCATTTACACCGTAATGTTCCAGCTTCCTAATAAGAGTAATATGATCAACGCAATTAAATGCCTTTGAGAGGTCACAGAAAACACCAATAGCGTTCTGGGGACTTGCCCAAGCATCGAAGATATGTTTTAGTAACGCTACCCCCGCATTGCTAGTCGATCTACCACTAGTAAACCCGTATTGTTCACTATGAAAAATATGATTCCTACCGAAATAGGACAGTAATTGCGTCAGCATAACCTTTTCGAATATTTTACTTAGAGAAAACAGAGAATGTAGATTCTGCCACGAGGCGGATGAAACTCCTGTGCATCTCCTCACCCAGTGCTGCCCTCTGATGGGCGTGAGAAGTTCCATACTGGGTAGGCACAGGCCACACCCAGAGGACATAAAGACTGTCGGAGCTAGGAAAGTCCTTAATGCAGTTGCATTGCAGTTGGTCTTGGCTCCGAGCTGTGATTAGTGGTGATCACAGTAGATCATTTATGGTCGCAGTGATGAGGGGCCTCATAGGCCCCAAATGAAGCCACCCTAATAATAATAATAATAACGTTACAGAACAGATGTTTTTATTTTTCTCCAGTATCTATGTTAGTAAACAGGCAATCCGTAAGAAATAATAATTTTCAAAATAATCAGTTAGATTCTCTTCACTTCACTTCTTTTTTATCTTACAGACCATGTAAACATATGTTAGTAAACTTAGGTTTGCTGAAGATTTCGGGGAGCGACCTCGGCACTCCAAGGTACTTTGCCCTGTAGCTGGCCACGCCGGATCACTGTGCGCGGCCGTTTCCTCCCCCTCCATGCATGCTCTGCATAGAGGGTTGTTCGTGATACCTAAATTGAAAAGGTATTTATTGTATGGACCATGACCCATTAGGGCGGCAGTTAGAGTGCGAAACTCTTGTGTTTTAAGTTTGATTAATTTTCGAGATAGACTAGCGTTGAGCGTCGGGAGTGCTTCCCCCGCTTGTCTACAAACCGTAAGGGTCGTTCATGTGTTATTATGAAAAGATTTTGTACCTTTGTGTAGTTGTTCTTGACCACCATGGGTTCTGATCCCACAGCGTCTGACCCCGACCCTTTTTGGTTAGTTCATCTGCTGCATCATTGCCATGTGAGCCGCTGTGTCCTTTAAACCACTGTAGAGTTACGTGGTTTTGTATACATGCCTCCATGAGTGTTTGATGGCATTCGTAAATTAGCCCTGAGTTTATGTCACAGCTGTTCAGTGCTTGTAGTACTGACATACTGTCGGAGAGTGTTCAAATGGAGTGATTCTTTACTCTTCTCGCTATGATTACTTCTGCTGCCAACTTGACACCTATGCATTCAACCTGGAATACCGTATTGTGGTCACCACGCGGTGTTGATATTAAGGTCTTCTGAGAATACCCCAGTAACTGTTCATGAATTTGTTTTTGATCCATCAGTGAAGACGCGGACCTCTCTGGGATTCAGTCCTTCGTTGGTACAAACCATGTAAAGTAAAAAAACGTTTCTAGCTGTAAATAGCTAGGCAAGTAACAGTAATTTCTAAAATGATAAAGCGTTAATAATACCCATTGACTTACAATTATATGGACGTCGGGTCCGCGCTAAAAAGTGTCCGAACTTATAGGGCGTTAAAATCGTATACAGAGCGTCATTCACGCTTTAGTCTTCGTTTGTTCGACTGACAGCGAAGCAAGCAAAATTAGACAGTACTGCGATGACATTACAATTTAAATTCAACGTTTTAGCTTTTTCATATTCCTTTACATGTATTACACTACGTTTAAATAGGTTGACTTGGGACATTTTTTTCGTGGTTTTTGTATTAGACCCGTCGTCCATTTATTTGTAAGTCAATGATAATACCATTAATAGTAACTTTAATAAATTAATATATAATTATATCATTATCTCTTTTCTAGTCTAACGCGGACGTGAACATATCCCAACACGTCCTTAGCAGTCATCGTTACGCGTATGTCACCACTCTAGTCCAGTACTACCAGATGGAGACAAGATGGCCTCTTAGACAACTTTTATTACAGGTACCTATGCCTACCTACTTTTGCTCGACCACATTCGGCAACAAGCAAGTGTAAGTTGGCGTGATTTGATATCACCAGTGATCGGATATCACCAGTGATCGGATTTGAGGGAGATAATTTACCTAAAGTATGAACGTTTTCTTAGTATGGACATACCCATTTCGTCATCAATGCGAATAAAATTTCTGTTTTTACTATTTATTTTGTAAACATTCCGAAGTGTAGGTTGTTGTCAAATGTTAATTTTTTAAATGACTGAAGTATATAAATATCTATAGAAACACAACTACAATATTATTTTTAGAGACAATAATTTGTAGCAAATACTTAATGGGAAATAATAATTTGTTGCCAATCAAGGTACTCAAATTTCAATAAATAGTCTTGTTTATTGAAATTGGGCATACACAAATATAATCGTTTCCGATAAGTCCCAGGATTTATAGAAGGGAAGGTCCACGTTATTCTTTAGTTTAGCTAAATTAACTCCCTCAATTCCGATCACTGGACATCACTTTTTCCACAAGTACAATATGAGTTTTTTGAAAGAAAGTTATTCTATTTGGGTGTCTTGGGTAATGCCCTTGGAGGTATGCCATTGTACGTGCTAGTGTTGCGCGTGACACACGCAATATGACGATTATTATGATCAAGTGTCACTTTTGAGTTTCAAACGTACTAGCTGACATAGAGAAGGTTTGGCAGCTCATTTTGCAGAATTTTCAAATAAACATTAGCATTTTTGCCAACACAAAAATTATTCTATGCCTGCTAACTACATAGCCACGCTACTTTCACAATTATTTATTTTTTATTTGGAATAGTTTTCAGATTAATTATTTTGGTGACGAAGCTTGAACTTTTCTAAAAAAGTTCACTAAAATCTGAAACTATTAATTTTCACCGAGCTTACGTTCATTTTAAAGGAGTCGCTTACGCCCTGCACCTAAAAAATAATTATACGGCTGTAAATGGGTCCCCTTATAGCATTGTTAGTGTGTGTATGTGTCGCTGTGGTCAGCGTCTTATCTTCTCCTTGTCCACTCGTTTCCTGCCTATAGTAAGCTTCTATGCAAAAATTACAAAAAGAAGTTAAACGACTGCGGCGCTACTTTCTGGTAGATGTCATCACCGTATACGCATTAACAAGCATCAATCTATTTTCTCACTTTATTAGTTACAGCAAAATACTGTGTGTGATTTCACGATGTCCCAGATCCAATTCTTTTTTATTACTAAGGCCATGTTTATAAAAGAATCTACGTTACAAAGTTACGTTTACAAAAATTTCACGTTTACTACCCGTTACGCGTCCTAAAGACACACGGTGTCCCTAACAATTTTGGTACTATAGCGTCTTGAAGTCCCACGGTTTCTCTGAACACCCAACTAGGTTTTCATCTACCATTTTTTTATTTTTACAATTGTCGTTAGGGACGCCGTGTGTCTCTAGGATGAGTGACGGGTTAATTTTAGGAAATGTATTTAACAGGCATTCGGAGTTATGTGCGGCCTAGAACGTACTGCTCTACAGACTCTTGCACTTTCCGCACTACCAGCCGAGATAGCTCGCGATATGCGGGACAACCCGCGCGCCGTCAGTCGCCTCTCTCATTCAGCTCTACTTTTGTCTATGGTGCTGTCTATGGGCGATAAGTTGCCCGTTACACACTTCGGTTGGTATTATTTATATACTATTTGCTTAGTGTGGCAATTAATTGAATTATTGTTATAAAAGAACAGGCTTTATCCTTGGACGCAAAATTTCCAGCAAATATTCACCTCTTAAGGCACGCGGAATGTACACGGGGTATCAAAATGTACATATAATACGGCCCCGTATGTATATCAAAATGTACATAAAAACAAGAAGTTATTCATACCCAGACAATATTATTCCAGAACCACGTAAACGCTCAGTGTACGAGTAGGTCATTGTAATGAAAATATCGCGTTCAAAATTAGCGCTATGTAAGTGATTTCTTTAACTGAGACACTACGGGGAAATTCGAGACCATAGGAGATACAGGGAAGCTGTTTTAAAAAAGGGGGTTTGTTTCTGTGAAAACAAATTTGACATAGTAATTTTTTTTAATTAAATGGACTTGCTCTTGATCACTGGAGCAAAGATAGGTTCTGCGATGGAACGAGCTAGCCCAGAACATGCCTATTCAGTCGCACCTCAAATATAACCGGGTTGTATAAGTTCAGAAACACAGTCGCAGGGAGTTCCATAATAAAAGATGATGAAAAGCGCTCAGTACGCCTGAAGGGAATATCAACTAAGTAACATAGAACAATAGAACACCGTACGTCCGGATGTCCGATCGTAAAAGGGAGCGGTCGGGATGAACTAATGGAGCTCATGGGTACACTCACCAAAATATATTCTGTAAAAAACCGACATTGAAAATTTTTTAAATTCTGATCGACTCAGATTCTTGTAAGGATCGTTTCATCAAAAAATCGGGCCTGCAGAATTTCAAATTTCAATTCAAATTTAATAAAATGTTTTTTCGTACTGAATTAATCATGGTCCAAGTACTTAATAATTTAAATATCAATAGCAAATGCTTCATCTGCATTTCTTATGATTTGGGATTTCCTCATACTATCCCGGTTAAAAAAAACATAAGTACTGTATGTTCTATAAGCCCGTAGGATATCAAAACATACGTTTTTTCATACAAAACTGAGGACATATTTTATAATGCTTGGGGCTAAAGCATGTGATTATATTTAGTATATTTTAATGTACATTGTGCATTTAGCGCTTTTCCTATTGTAGTTTTCTGGATCTTAGGAGAATATTGATTTAATTTTATGACTCAAAGAGGTTATACATGTGGTCTATAGATTAGAAGCTGATAGTAGAGTAATAGTGTTTGTTATATGACCGTTTAAATGTTATGGTCTTACCATGTACACCTTTTAAATCATGTAAAAAATTGTGTCTTGTTTTCAGAGCAATTGGGGGAAGAATTTGCACAGTTCCTACTAGATCTGATAGAAAATCCACCAGAAACAGACGTGGATGAACAAATACCAGACTTGTTTCTAACTTTACTGCTCGCATACAATCTACAGTTTCAGAACAGTGTTGACAGTTTGCTTCTCAACGCATTGGAGACGAGGGATATCGCTAAGACATTCTGCGAGAAAGTTTTGTTGCTACTCAATCGTGAAGGTACATTTTTCAATAATACTTTTATCATTTCGACTATTAAGATATTTTAGATCTTGAAAAAAAGTTGAGAAAAAGATATGGTTCTAGGGTCCACTGAAAATCAGCGTCACAGCCTAATCTGGGGTGCGGCATTAGCAGAGTGGTTCCTGCATACGCCACTGCCGCACATATATTATTCAAATTGTTTTGACTATTTAAAATTTGATAGTTCGCTTATTTCGTGTTTTTTCTTTCTTTCTGTGTATTGTTGTGTTTGTGGCGTGGCAATAAATGGTTTCTATTTCATTCTCTTCTAATCCTTCAAAAATTTTTCTAAATCTAAATGTTTTGTCAGGCTCTGTACACACGGCACCACTTCCCTTCTGAGCTTTCCATGTAAACAATAAACATTCTTGCTAATTAACGCCATCAGTACTGCGCTACTGTGCTATCCGCTACTGCGCTATGGCGACGACGCGTGTAAACGCTAAGAACATTGACTTACAAATAAATGGACGACGGGTCTAATACAAAAACCACGAAAAAAAATGTCCCAAGTCAACCTATTTAAACGTAGTGACATGTAAAGGAATATGAAAAAGCTAAAACGTTGAATTTAAATTGTAATGTCATCGCAGTACTGTCTAATTTTGCTTGCTTCGCTGTCAGTCGAACAAACGAAGACTAAAGCGTGAATGACGCTCTGTATATGATTTTAACGCCCTATAAGTTCGGACACTTTTTAGCGCGGACCCGACGTCCATATAATTGTTAAGTCAATGGCTAAGAACGAAACGAAAGACCTTTAATAACAATAATTATTACTTATTGAAACAAATTAAAAGAAAATGATGTTCATTTCTATTTTGTAGAGGACCCTGTACAAATATTCGATCACGAACCGGCGCCCGCGCACTCCGTGCTCAAACTGGTGATCGATCTGTTCAGTCGCAAGAAAACAGCGGAGCATTTCTATACGAACGACGTGAAAGTCGCCATCGATATCATTGTGCGACAGCTTGCCGATTTGTCTCCCGGTGATAAGGTAAATCATACAGACAATATAACAACATATAGCGCGCCTCTTTAGCCAAGGGCTAACTAACTTGTCTTATTAGAGAGCACCTAGATGTCTATGTTACATATAGCTCGCTCGTCTCTGTTTTCTTTAGGCTTTTCGTTCCTCTGCAATATAAATATATTGCGGCGGTAATATATATATATATATATATATATATATATTATATACAATGTTAGATAAACTACAACGGTGTAGTGGAGTAATTTCACAAAAATAATTGAACGTCACGGTAGTAAAACATTGTGATATAATAAACTTCACATTAAATTCGTTTATTTTGCAGCGTCGAGAACAATACCTGAAGATCCTTCAAGGTATAATTCGAAACACGGAGTATGAAGCTCACCTTCACCGACGAGACGACCTTCTCCGTTGTTTTGCACGGATCTTCTGCGAGGAAGGCGACGCCAGTCACGTCGATCAAGCTCTCGTTCGGGCTATTTCCAACGAGTTCCCACAATACTTCAAGGCCTAAGTTCCAAGACTTACGTGGTAAGAAGATACGTAATTTACGAGGCTTGAACTTAAGGTACTGAAGGATATTCGTGATCCTTTCTTTACTGAATCATATTCCTGATTCGGGAAGTCTGGATGTTGAGGTATGAGAATCAACCCCAGTACGGGTCTACACCCGAGCTAGTAAATGTTTGATGACACCAATAGCATCGCCGAAGACAGGGAAAGAAGGCACTTAGTTTGTTGAATGTTTGCGCGAGCGGTTGGTATACAAATCCTTGTCTAAGATAAACGTAGGTGGAAAAGCTTATACGTACAGCAGTGCTTTAAGAGATTTTTTTTATGCAAATCTTCTATCTACTTTCGGCTACTGGTTTACAAGAACGTTGCTGTTTGAGTGACTCACCAAATTTACACTATGTAAGAAAGTTTCAATAATCTCAGTACAGAGTACTAAAAAACCGACCTCAAAAGTTCGTGGAGTTACATCTATTTGAAAAGTTTTATTGGTTACCGGAAAGTGCGCGAAATCGAATTCATCCACTAGTTTGCCACCCTTAGAGATGGAACATTTAAAAAAAATTTAAATGGGACCGCTGCTGAGGTACTATTTTTTCAACAAAAAAAGAATCATCAAAATCGGTTCACAAATTATCGCCGGAGTTATCGGCAAACATGAAAGCATGTTTTTTTTAATGTAATACATACATTTAAAAAAAATGCGGATAAATTGAAAACCTCCGCCTTTTTTTCAAGTCGGTTAAAGGTTAAAGGTTATTTTTGTAGTTAATTGTGCAGCAAGTATGTGGAAAAGAGTAGCTTTACCCTCAAAACTTTGCTATAGTAACTGTCACAATGGTATTTACAAAGCTGCGTATTTTCATAGTAGCTACATAGTGATATTTACATAATCTCGTAAATCCACACGTTTCTAAATCTTTGTCATCCATTTGTAGAGTTTTGCTTAAAATATACTCTTGATCTGAAATATAATGTTCGCTTTTTTGTCTGTAAATGAAGAGGAACTTGAAAATTTTAACGTTACCGTTAATTATACGCAATCTTTGTCCCCAAGAGCAAAACTTTTGCAAATAAAGTCTTTTCATGTTTTTATGTTAGAACCAATTACAAAATTGATAACCCAGAAACAAAGATCTTGTTACATGGTATTATCAATACGGAATCGGCTTGAGCCGGAAAAGGCTTTACGGCGTTAGCCAGCAATATCTAAGCAACAGTTTGTTGAGGCATTAGATGCAGTCTTGTATGTACTTACTTAATTCTATTACAAGCCTTCAGTAACTAAGAAATCGGTATGTTAAAAGGTTTTTGTTATTATCATTTGATAATAAATAGCGCAAAACGAATCCTTAAACAATTAGTATACTTATTTAATTAAATAAATACTAAACTGAACTTTTAAAATGGCTGTGTTAGTTAGAAATCGCAGCCACGTGTTCGATGTTTTATAATCGTGAGTGAAAATTAGATTTGGACGCATACACTTTATATATATTCTTTATATTTGGCACAACTTTAATGACAGGGAGAACGCTAGCCTATGTCTACGTAGGCTAGCGGTCTACCTCGGTCGCGAGCTCGCTTTCATCACACAGGCCAACACCACAGTCTTTTTTTTAAGATACCAAATGACGGGACATACAAGTTATGTGGCCTAGGCGCACTAGACTTTTGATATGTGACACGCCTGTCCATAACATTTGCAGTGCAGCTCAGACCTTCTTTAAATCGCAAAGATCTGAGGGACACTGCACAACCTGAGACACACGTTGACTCGTCTCATGTGCATGCAATTTCACCAGCACACTTACCCTTCGAAATTGGAACGCAGTAATGCTCACATTACTGCTTGGTGGCAGAAATAGGTAAGGTGGCAGTACTTCCCTGGACGATCTCTTTCACAAGGAGCTTGTGGCCTAGCCACATGAATTTACTAGATATAGAAAATGAAAGAACAAAAGGCTGTAACAAAAATACAGTGATATAAAGAGGTACAACAGTATAAAACACTCCCGAAACAGTCTTATGAACAGTCCACTTACCCCAAGAGGGCCTATATGTGAAGTTAGGGTTTTAATGAGGATACTTCATGAGCACGTCCTCTCGCTTTAGAAGTTTTGGTGGGAGTGATGTCGGATCGAACCAAAGTAAGAATAGCGTAGTAAAGGAATTAGAGAACGATTCAAAATTTTAAAAGTAAGTGGCCACGAACCAGTTAAGAGGGTGATAAAGGGACGGCGATAAAAGTCAGCATCGTCTCAAACTCTCCAGCTACTAAAATCGTTGATTTACAATCTTTTGCCATTATCCAAAGGTAATTTTAGAATTCCCCTTTCATAAAATTCCTGTGTTTACTTACAAAATACAGCCCTAAATGTCGTTTGTCGTCGTAACTTCGTTATGGAAGTCGTGTCCATTCAAAGAATTTAAAAACCGAAATATGTAATAATTTTAAAGAGCTATGCCGGACGAATACGGTGGATGAGGTCAGATCCTAACTAACTGCAATAGTTTTGACGACTTTGTAAAGATGTATGTGGAACATTATAATGGTGAAATAATTTTTCAAATACACTCCCATGAATTATAAACTCAAAACTTTCCCGCCTGTTCTTAAAATGCGTTCTAAAATATAATTTTTTAAATTACCATAGACAATATAACAGTTCAAAAGAAAAACGTTTTTTTATACTTTAAAGTTGGCTTGTGGCAAAACCGCACGGACTTGACCAACCAATTATCGGCTGTTCCTCGAATTAACGTGCGAAAAGATATTTAAACAGTTTTGTTGTTTTTAATCCTACGATAAATAAAGTGTATGCGTTATTATGCGACTGTACTACTGTAGCTATGTGTTGGTATAGCACAAATTATGACTCTAATTTAAAGTTAGGATCTCAATACGTAGTTACGTATATCGATATATTTCTGCTCTTGCATTAACTTAAAAATAAGGCGTTTACAAATTAATGATAACATTCTTCTGAAAACACTTCGTACTATTTAGTATAGTTAAATAAATATAATTCTGCATGTGTTTACAACGTCTATCTATGCGAGTCTTTATTCTCATAAAAAATTATATTTTAAATATACGACATTCTGGTTAATATAAATAATTGCAGACGAGCAAAATTTGTTAAGGGATGTTTCAACACTTTCAACAATATGGTCTGATCCCGACTTGCATCGACTCGCATACAATTTTTAGGTCTATTGGTTTTAAATTTTATGAAAGTTAGACAGTACGTTTTACTTTGCATATATTTATGTGATGACTATAGGGTAAGGTGAAGAATTTTTTAGCAATAGAAATGAAATTATTTTGTCTTATCTAAAATTGCGTTTATTTGTTTTTTTTTTTCTAAAAAGCAAGTTCGTGGTGACGGCCATAGTTATCTATGGTAACATCTGACACGGGACTTGTAAAGGTGCTTACAGATTTCCTCATTTTTTAACGATCGATCAAACGAGTGCATTTGTAAGCAACAGACAATCGATATCGTAGTAAACTTTATTTACTAGTAAAAAAATTGAGTAAATCTAATAGGCACCCATAAAGAGCCCGAAACGTTGGTTTGTCTGAAAAAAAAAACAAATATACGCAATTCGGAAAATAAATTTCATTTTCAATGTATGACAATCGCGAAAATCTAAGAACTCGATAATTTTTTAGCAAGTTGAGTCTGTAAATCGTGCATGTTTATATATACAATATAATTATATACGTGTCTTACTTTGCCCCAGTGTCAACGCGACATTTCCAAAACTTTACTGCTAAGTATAGGTGTGAGTGAGTTGGCAATATGTTGTCTTCGATTTTAGGAATACAATCGATTCTTCCGTATTTAGTAATAATTTCACAATTTAAAGCATTTATTCTGCATGAAATTTTTAAACCTATAACACAAATAATTATACTGCTCTCTTTTTATGTCACTACTTTTATCAATTACGTAAACTATAACAACGGTTCTTTTCGGTGCCATTTATCACCAAGTAATTTTTTTTTAACATGCGTGTCGCGTCACTATAAGTCAATTAAAAAGTAATGCTTTAAAAAATCCATTCCAAGACCTATTATTTCATTACATGAACCTTACATTCCAATACTGTAATTGGATAATCGTCATTGGCTTAAATCCGATAAAAAAGGTGAAATATATCAGAAGAGAGAGAAGGAGATAGAAAGGAAGAAATGAATTCGAAATCTATACGAATCAACCAATCACCCATTAATGTACAATAAAGTGCCTGATGAAATGTTTTGTATGATTTAATGTGTATGTACCTTAGTTAAATAAAAAAAAGTATATTACGCAACTTGCATTCTATACAGTGCCTCTACCATGAGATTACACTGAGTTATCGCTAGCGACCGTGTAAAATGTTTCTAGGTATACAAAATGTTGTTTTTTCTTATGACCGCTAGGGCCGCTGTATAATTTGCCACACACATGTGACAACTCACAGTAAACTCGTGGTAGAGTCACTAGATTCGATTACTTATGATTATATGTAGCAAGTTTGTAGTTATGTATTTATAACACAGATGCAATATTTTTGCTAGTCAATACATACAATAGTAACTCATAAAGTCAAAACGTATTGCAATAATCTTAATATAGTCCTATAACATTGAAGTTTGACATATTTTTTAGAATAAAACTTACCAAATGAATATCGAAGATTGTCTATTGGAAGTTAGTTTATATTTTATGGAATTTATTTAAATCGAAATTGTATGGATAATAAGATAAATTTATTCGTAATTCGTTGTAGTTTATCCCATGTTATTTGTTTACCATTGACCAATATTTCAGGGTGTATTTAGATTATGGTCACTAACTACTCATAATTAATTAAGCTAAAGACGATGTTGGCGATGTCTGGTACTAAACTAATTGGAGAGGTTTAAAAACAATATCTATCTCTTTTAAAACGAAAAAGAGATTGATTTTAGACCTGTCGAAATTCATTTATGAAGACTACATAATCGCCATAGTTATATATTCATTATATTATTGAATAGGCAGCTAGATTCAAAAAAGGTTCCAAATAAGACGGTTTATATAAGCGCCTTTTACACACGCCATTTCGTGATCTGCTCGTGTAATAGAAAAAATCTATCGGCTCTGAATAATGGCAAATAACACTTTCACATATAAAATTTAACATAACTCTGCAAGTCCAGCTCAGATTGAAGTCCGATCACAGTCGAATTTTATACCAGTATAAAACACTATAAAAAATGCCATATAATGCGTTGCGTCATCGTTGCGACGACGTTGCGCTGTGACGCTGCGTTGTATATAAATTTGAACGACATGCCACACGGTGCGTTGAAACGGCGCGCCACCGCAAGCAACGTAATATATTGAAATTATAGCGTTGCGACGCCTGAGCGGTGACGCTGCGTTAATTACATAATAAGTTAAAACTGGACGCCACATGGTGCGTTGAAACGGCGCGCGACGACGAAAGGCGTACGTAAGCGGTGTTACGTTGCGACACCGCATTGGTCGTGTGGCACTCGGTGTGTTGACACAACGCACCGCACCGGCGACGCCCGTGTGACGTCGCTCCAAGTCATGAAATCATAAAATTATTCAAATACGAAATTTACAGTCGTATGTGTAAAGCAAAAAAGTGACTGAATGATTGACTGACATATGAACGGCTTGGCCTAGAAATACAGGTTCCACAACTTAGGCCAAAGAATACTTTCAATTTATGAAACATTGTAAGATTTGTCCAATTTCGTATATGGCTAATTTCATGAATTTTGATTTCTTTTTTCACCAAACTATTTGTGACGCAAAGTCGTATAATACGACTTTCATAAACTTATCGTATCCTATAGCTACACTATATTATTGTGGCCAAGAACGCATCCGCGTCACTATTAGCCTTCATTAAATCCCCAAAGCGTGCAAATGTTAGGGCAGGCAGGGCATGACAAGAGATGGACGATGTGAACATGTTGTTAGCTGTCATGACATGAATACGTGTTTACAGGCCAAATAAATAGATACGTACATGTCTCTCAATATATATTACATAAACTATTTTAACTTCTAACACTAAATTAGACATAGTTTTCGTCTCGTCAACTGTAAATATTACTTCCATCGTTTCAAATCGGTGCGTGTATTGGGCGCTTTACAATTTGTATATAAATCTTAAACAGAACTATAAAAAGTACGTCTTAATGAATTTGAAGTATTTTGACCATTCGGAATTACAAATGTTTAAAGTCGTCGTTGCAAAAAATCTGTTAATATTTGATCAAAATATCTTCTACTTTGTACTTACTTATTCATTGTTATGTTATAAGAATGCTTTATGTTACTATTGTGAATTATAAAGGTTTTTTTTGCGCCTAATGTTTGAATATAACATCTCAATATAATCAAGTTAATAAGAATCAAGTTTAAATGTTTTCAGTCTGCCTGCATTTAAATTTGCTCAAGACGCCAAATTTTCGTAGACTTTTTAAAGCAATCACTTGTTTTGTATTGTGGATATTCTTGTGCTTTATCTTATAATCATTATGCCGAGTCTGCACGCTAAAATGTAGACGTATCCCAATTACTAAAGCTAGTGTTACACGAATAATTTCAAACATTGAGAACGCAGTATGCTACAATTGGGCCTAAGTGTCATTACTACTTGCATATTCTATTTCACCCATTCTGCCCACATGACCATAGCTAAACGTAATCGATATTTTTCGCGAAATTGAGTTATTAACATTCTGGGATCAGCCAACCGAGTTCTACAACCTTTTCTAAACGAATCGAAATCGGGTTTATTGTTAAACAAAATCAGCGTAATTGATATTTTTCTAGGTGACAAAAACCTTTTGGTTGCCAATATCTCGAAAGATACCGAAATTCAAATGCGTTAGTTATTATTCATATTATCATATAGCATCGAGTATATAACCAGAAATAGAGACGAAATGTCATGTAATTTGTTTGAAAACTATTCTGCCAAATTATTACAATGACAATTGCCCTCCGATTCCAGCTCGAATTCGAAACAATTGACGGGTGTCGTCACAAAAATTACATCTTTAATATTTAATTACCGATGAAATGTGATTCCGTTTGTTTTGTAATTAGATGTTTTGCTGTTTTTCCCACAACACCGAATGGAACAGCTGTATGGATGGCCCTTATTTCGTCTCTATTTCTGGCTATGTCCTAGATGTTATATAAGTACAGATACCATAGAAGCCATGAAGTCCACTGAGATTCTTAAAGACTCCAATCCTAAGAATTATAGCAGGATGAGAAACTGCTTAAGCTTAGACGATAAAATGGACCTTTCAAGCCGCAATGAGTGTGGAAATATTCAATATTACAAAATTCTCTATTACCGTATAATAAAAAGTACTTAAGTAACTGTATACCTAGTGTCTTTTCTTGTTATTTTCGATAATTTTATTGTTTACATATATATGTGCTGTCTATATTGGTTACTTGCTTATTGAATGAGAATGAAGTAGAATATTCAAATTGATTAATGACATGACAGTTATCTTGCGTTCTTAAGCTCCTAAGACCCAGCAAAGTACAAAGGAACATGCGCTAAACGCCCAACATAAATTAAAATGTATTCTTCTTCGCGTGTCGACTCTGACGTTTATATTTGTGAGGACCAGTACTCAGCGACTGATACTACATTATCAGTGGCGTTGTATATGCAGGTGTAGGGGCACGCAGGACAAGACCAAAAGATGTGCCATAGTCTGGGGAGATACACCATAAAAACATGCGCTCTCAGATAATACATACTTTAGACTGCTGCTGGTCCGAAGTTTCGTATAAAAAAGTATTTTTTTAGATACCTTAAGGTCATATGGAATATATAGCTCTGGATTTGAATGCGATGTATTCATTATAATGTACACTTTCACTTACATTGTTATTTTTTTGTACAATGCATTTTGATGTACATGGGCTCTTAGGAGGTTGAAAGAACTGCAGTTTTTAAAAATATCGATCGAGCATAAACAGATAACTTTTACTTTTGGCGTGCTACTCATTAGCTTCCAGCATTGTCAGTTGATCGCAACAATTCAAGTTTGTGTCATAGTTTGCCAAAGATACATAAAACTTTGTATTGTAATTGTATGCGTGTGTTACAGTAAAATTGTATGAATATTGAAATTTATTAGAACAACACAATGTGGTAACATTACTATTGCATTGTTACAACACAATGTTTCCAATTAAGACTTTGTTTATTAGTTATAAAGTAACTTATAATTCTTGTGCAAATCTATAAAAACAATCACGTTAATTATTAACTATCTTAACTATTTCTAGAATCAAGTTAACTAATGTGAATAAAAGATGTTCTATCGCTATTTCTTCTTTTTATTATTATCGAACCAGAGACCTTATCCTACATCTAAAGTGCAAACCGTTTGGCTATCGAGTTCGTGAAATAAAATATTCAATGAAGCTTGGCCTTAGGCTGCATGCGCGAAGCCCATAAATACAGCTACGTGCAGTCAAAACCGACTGCAAACAGTTGTTGATGTTGAAACGGCAGCACAGATGTTACTTCCAGCTGGTCACTGTATTCAGAACATTTATGATTTCAAATGCTGACTTTGCTTTTTTTTAACATATAAGGAATTATACACACATCAAAAGTGTCTAGGAATCAAGTACGTTTAAGAGTATTGCTGCAATTAGGGTTAATTATATTA